TTTTTCTTTTTGTTTATTTTTATTTTGTTTGATTCGCCTTTAGTCTAGAACCCTCTAGGGAATCGCCCTTTTCTAAGAAGTGGGTTTAATTTTAGATTACCCATATCTATAATTGAATCCACCATTTTTAATTTCTTGCATTCTAGAATTTTGTTCTTCATTCTTGATTTTTTTAATTTGTTTCTTGATTTTATTCATTTTTCCTTCTCACCTTATTGATCGTACTCATTCTCTTTTACATCCACTATCACTTACACTTTGCACCTACTTACACATCACTTTCACTCTTTAAATCTCTTCACAATCATATTCACTCACTAGAAATGTTAGGGGCACACCCCAAGTCACACCTCCAACCACACCTCCTCCTCTCATTCGCTACAGTACTCCGGGCCCCACATGAGTTTTTAAAATTTAAAAACTCATGTGGGGCCCGGAGTACTGTAGCGAATGAGAGGGGAGGTGTGGTTGGATGTGCGGTTTGAGGTGTGCCCCTAACACCACTCTTCACTCACCAATCTTATTTGTCACGCACACAACATAAGAACCGATTTTATATTTTCTCCTACAAAACACCTTCCTCATGGGATCGATATCTTAAATACTATAACTTGACACGGTTGTGCACTTACAACCTTTTTGGTACATGTTTATGCCACATCACTTAGATTCCCACCTAAGGACGCGGCCTAAAATCATATCATTCCCTAAATCTTTTTTTGATCCGCTCCGTTGAACTTGATCTACACGTTCTTATACCCAAACACACCAATTTTAGGGTGAACCCGTTGTGTTTTGACCATTCGTTGAGCCGTGCAAAAAGTTCTACTCATTCGAAACCGTTAAAATTACGGTGAGTGGATGAAGGGTCAAGACACAATGGGTTCACCCCAAAATTGGTGTGTTTGGGTTTAAGAACGTGTAGATCAAGTTCAACGGAGCGGATCGGAAAAAAAATTAGGGAATGATGTGATTTTAGGCTGCGTCCTTAGGTGGGAATCTAAGGTGTCACCTTAGAATCACTTTTCCATATATATATATATATATATATATATATATATATATATAAGGAAAAGTGAATCTAAGGTGACACCCTAGGCTCCCACCTAAGGACGCGGCCTAGAATCACATCATTTTCTAAAAAAATTTGTGATTCGCTCCGTTGAACTTGATCTACACGTTCTTAAACCCAAACACACCAATTTTGGGCTGAACCCGTGGTGTTTTGACCCTTTATCCACTCGCTGCAACT